TGGGCTTCTGGTAAAGGACCTGAGATTAAGGAAGACACATAACATCCATAGGCGTGAGAAGGGTTTTTTAAAAAATATATGACATTTACTGAAGTAAACATCCTTATATATTACAAGCTGTGTGTAAATCTATTACAGGACAAGGCTGAACTTGCTTTGGCTAGAGAACATCCTTTTAAATCACTGATTATTCTCTTGACAAACCATATTGTATCTGTAGAACAGCAAGGCCAGAAAAAATTCAAATGTTGGTATCTCAGCTTAGATCTCATTATTTTAGGATCCAGAATCCCAGGGTATATCCATTATGTGTCAGATTTGATTTGTGAATGGCTCCTAATTGTCCAGGATCTTACATTTTAGACAGCCGCATAAATCTTACTGCTTCGCGAATCATTTGACTTCAGCTGCTTTGCATAGCAGATTCAAAGGGCCACATTAGTTATCATCTGCACAGGATTAATAACTAATCCATTCTTCACTAATTTCTTTCTCATAATCAAAGTCAACTTTAATACCATACTTTCTTTGTAGGTAAAATTATGCGGCGGGTATTAAGGAAGATTGCGAAAAATGACCAGGAACTGGGAGATACCTCAACGGTGGCAGATCCAACAGTTATAAACCATCTTTTCAGTAACAGGTGTGAAACAATAATGTAGCAGAGCTATCCTGTAAAAACAGCAGAAGTGCATGAATTTGATGAGAATATGGCCCCCTAAGAGACAGTGACTTGAGATGGCAAACTATGTGCTAATCTGAATGTAAAATCCTGAAGAGAAGAAAAACTGGTGCTCCAAGATCCAGTCCTTTTGTGTTGTGAATCTAGCTTTGTGCCTCTGGAGCACTGTGCGTGTTATTTTATAGTCCAATACTGCATATCTGAAATTTCAGCCTCATTCATACAATATTTCAATTATTTTTATTTTTACACTTAACATGCTGTAATTGGTTGGGCTTAGAATATGCAGATACTGATGTGAAGAACTCCTGAGCTGTAGTTATGAGCCTTCAAAAGGCTTGAGAACTAATAGACTAAGCAGTAATCCTCATGTTGAGGTAGTATTATTAAAATACATATTTTAACAATTAAGCATTCTTTTTTTAAAAAAAAATATCCTGAATACTCCAGCTGCATGGCATAGGAAAGAAACATTTTAAAGAAAACTGTCAGCTATGAAGCTGTGTAAAGTTATTTTTCCAGTGTTATCTCTATTGAAATATAGGCTGGAAAGGATTATTATAATATTTTTTCATCCCCCAAAGGAGTAACACTTATCTACATATTTTAATTTTCAATAATGCTTGTGTGCTTGCATGCACACGTTTGAATTTTTGCAGTATATTGTTCCACGTTGGATGTAAATTCAATTGTTCTAGTCATGAAAAGTTGTGCTCAGTGCCTGGGTATTCCATGGAGGGAGGCGCGCTTTTTTTTTTTTTTTTGCTAGAAATATTTGGTGCAATGTCAATGCCAGTTGAATCTGGGCAGGGAGCTCTATCTATTATTTTCATTAATGGAAGAGAAGAAGTTATAGATACGAAAGGAAGTAATTGTTTGTGTGACCAGCTTGTGTTCTATAATCACATAAAGGAAATAAATATATATATTCAGTCAAAGATTCTGGACTACTGGGATGCATTTGGTGGTTATACTGAGGAAATGTCTTCCAGATATGCTTAAATTTAGTCAAATTGATCCTGCTTTCTCCATGTGATCATTGTGTAAATCATGTGTGTGACCAAAGTCAAGCTGCTGCTCTTGTGAAAGAAAAAAAAGTGAGTGTATCGCCACCAAACTAAGCAGAGATATCTTTTTTTTTTCAGTTAGATTTTATCCATAGTTCACTAATCTTGCTTCTTCTTGAAATTAGGGTGGTTCCCATTGAAAGAGCAAAGACAAAATCAAATATAAGTTTGAGATCTGATAGGTGAAGAAAACATGAACCCTTAATCCTTACAGATTAATAAATGTATATGATGGGAACATGCTTGTTTCAAATTTGCCAAGATATTTCAGCACTTAGTGCTATTCACCTGGGAACGTCTTTGTATTAGAAATTGCTACTATTTACTATCTTAAACACTTTTTTTTTTGCCTGTGATAACCATATTGTTGCATCCCTGAGATGTCTGTGTTATCCATAGAACTGCTTAAAACCGTATGCCCCTCAAACTCTGTATTTGATTATTATGACCATTGCTTCATCTTTGCTCACAGCTGTATTTCTCATTTTTTTTATCTGCTGGTGGTAGTCTAAATGTACTTGTGTGTGATCTGCAACATTGATATGCATATAGAACTATGTTCTTACAGCACTGATAGTAGGCCAGTGGCATACTAAATGCTGTTAATACAAATTCCTCTTATTTTTGATCACAGAATGACATAAATATGGCTGGGAAATGAGAAAAATTGTTTTAATTGGAATAAATTAAAGAAATAAAACCTGTAACAGAGAAATAGTAGTGGGTGTTTTATGTTCCTTGCCTGGCTTATGTTTTGAAAGATAAACCAGGATTCTAGCCTCTTTGGCTTACAATTTCTAGCACTGTTCCTCCTGTCTGTGTTTGTCTGTAAATTAGTAAACCTAATAGCTAAAGAATCTAGTAGGGATGTCCCAACATAACTAGTTCTGTAAAGTAAGTTTCTAGTAAACTCTTTACTCAAATTTAGGACTGGTTATTAGGGCTGGGCATTGCTTTGGATTCAAAGGCAAAAAGGTGATTTGGAGCATGTACCCAGTACCTGGCTGCATCTTCCTAAACCACACGCATCTTTTCCTAGGAGTGTGCTGCAGCTGCAGAGAGCAACCACGGAATCCGGGGAAGAGGTGGCAGCTTGCAGGCCTATGTCGTATAAATGTCTCTCAGTGCTCCAGAGCACCTTTTGCCTTTAAATCCAAAGCAATGCACATCCCTGATGTAAGGTCAATTATTAGTTGGCTGCATAAACTTTTATCAACAAAGGTAGACAGAAGAATGTAATAAAATGTAATCCATGGATTTAATTTGCTTCAAGCCTAGTGAAAATGGTCTACCAGCTTGCAGTAGAATCTAGTTTACATAACAAAGCTAAAGCAAGCACAGAGGAAAGCTCAGTAACATTTATTCTGCGTTATGGAAGAGCTGCGCTGGTGGATTATGAATTTGTCTACTCAAAAGCTTCAAATTTGTGGTTCCCTTATCCTTTTTCATTGTTATGATCAAACTGTGGCTATATAAATCTACAGTTTATATTCAGTAAGGCCATATGTGGCTATATATTCATACCAAACTGTTATCTCACAAATACGCTGATGACATTAAATGGATTCTGTTGGCTTGTTAAAAATGCAGGATTTAACATTCACCAAATGTTATATCATAAAATATATCCAACTTTACAAATACAATACTTTGTAATTGGTAAATGTGTCACCACATGGCTCCCCCCCCCACCAAAAAACCCCACTGGCCCTATGCTAGAACACTAGGAGGAAAAGCTGGGGTGGGGGGACATAATTGTTACCAATTATTTTCCAGAATATTTTCCAACTGATATCAAGTATTTTATTTAGAAAATTGTTCTACCGATTCTTAATACTGTGTTCTCATATAGCTCCATTAATTCTCTAAGCCTGTCCTCTAAAATGTAGTGAATAAGGCTGTGGTCAAGAAATCCATGCATGAAGTGAGATAGTGCTGCTGAAGGAAAAAGACATCTTAAAGCCATCCAAAATGTATAGATGCCATCTTTTTAAAGCAAAGTGACATGGTGTGGAAGGCTGAAAGAACAGTATACTGTCAGTGATATTTCAAAAGGATATTCTAATTGTTTTCTGCAGCGCGACAAATTCCATTGTTTCATAGTATCTGGAGATTTAAGAATCTGAGTTTAAAAAAACCAAACAGCCATATTAACACATCTGTTCTTCATATATCAGTACATCAGGCTTCTGAACTTACTACACACATTTGCTATCTTTTTCAAAAAGTGGTGAAGTACTTTTCTGTAATCACCTATCAGTAACTCACTGACATGAGATAGTCAGAACTGACCAGATAGTCAGAACTGACCAGTCTTTGACAACTACTTTTAGCTCAAATTAGTCTTAGTAAACTTGGCTGTTTTGTTGTTGTTACCATTGTTTCTGAAATCATTTCCCACCAAAATCATCTTTAGCTTTTTCCTTAGGTTATGTTGTTTTTATAAAACAGGTGGGTACAGGGATCACTGAAACTGAAGTGATTTCTACATTTTTTTATTAAGTCCCTCTACCCAATGCTAGTGATTGTGCATCTTTCAAAGGAGCTCCCCACAACCACCATAAAAAGCAACATGCATACATGATTCTTATTTGTCCTCAGGTCATTTTCAGGCAAAAACAGAGTGAAACAGGAAGTTTCCCAAAAGACTGTAATTCTGAAAGAATTTCATTCCTTATTGCCACTCTGAGAAACACAGAATTACATCTTGAATATGTAGAAAGTTATCAAGAATATTTTCTGCTATCAGAAATCCACAAGTTCTTTTAGGAGATGCCTTATCAGCAAGTTGACCATGGCAGTTAAAAGCACATTATATCCATGAGATCCATCTTTGACAGGGATATTTCAGAAAACTGTCCATGTAGGTCATTTAGAATCCTGTTTTCTGACTAGGACAGCAAATTACTAAACATAATTACTATAACTTTGATTATTAAGTCTGCCATTTGGCAATCATGCCTTAAAAGAAAAATGTCTCCCATTTCAAGCACTGTGAGATTTTGTTCTCATATCGCATAAGGAGTATCCAAGACAGCCACACCAGCTGCTACTCCACCATCTGCATGTTCTATAGCCTTTGTTCTCAAGAGATGGCCCACATGCTTGTTCATCACAAGATTCTGACCATGTCTGCAAGGGAAAAAAAATAAAAATAACTGAATATGTAAAATTGCTCAACTCTATCTATAATCTTGCTAGAGAGTTCCATTAAGCAAAGCTGCTTGATTGTAAACAGTTCATTTGCATATGTATGTACATTTGCTCAACAGTTCTGCAATGGCAGGCCAAAGCACTTTACTGTTCCTATAATATTGTCACTGAAAGCATTTCAGTTGCAAGCAATGGGGGAATTTATTTATTTAAAAGATTTATATGGCTGCCCATATGGCACACAACTGTGGGCAGCTAACAACAGTGATAAAAACACAGTGAAAACAATAAAAAAAATCAAGAAAAACTAGGCATACCATCCATCATCTACATCCATTCATCTGTGTAGTCCCTTGGCTCTAACCTTACTATCCCAACACCTCAGGGGAAAGCCAGTTCCTTATGGCTTTCCAGAGGGTTAAGAGGGTGGGGTTGTTCTTGTAATCCACCATAAATCTTATGGATGAGTACAGTTTAACAGGTAATCTCAAACACAGATTATCCAGAGCTGTGCTTACTGATTTCCTTTCTATTGTTATAGAAGTGTTGGGAATAGTGTCTGGAAGTAGCAGATAGGATTACTTACTTCCAAAATTGATTTATTTCACATTCTCCTATTATGTGGTTCCATTAAACACAGCAAAGTGGCATATTAAATTGACTAGTTGTGCAGAGAACTGGACAAATCCCTATATGTACGTGATAAATCTGATGCAACATCTAGTGACTTCTAGCATCTAGTTCATCAATCTTTATAGTCAGTAAAAGTTACACTGAATTGGATCACTAGTTTATCTAGCTTGATATTGTCTCCTGACTGTCAACCCCTCTTCAGAGTCCAGTATAATACTTTTTTTAGCCACAGCTTCAGATGCCAAGAATTGAAACATGTGACTATTCGCATATGAAGTATATACTCTACCACCAAACATTTTATTAAAATGTTAAATTCAATTTCAGTTCAATTTATATAGCTGGCTACTTGGCACATGACTTAAGAGTGTTGTACATCGTCAATAAACAACCCACAACCCATAAATGTAAAAACAACATAATGAACAAATAATTAAAAACAAAATACAAAATCATATGGACATAAAGTGCCAGGAAAAATTCAACCAACAGAATCATATCACTCCCTGACCCATGCCTGGGGAAAGGGCCAGATGCTTAATATCTAAGATAGGCAGTCTAGCCCAAATGAATCTTGGGGGCTGCTGTTCCAAACAGCAGAAGGGTAATCAAGAAGGCGCATCTCTTAGGCCTTACCAGATGCCATTTTCTAAGTGGCAGGACCTAAGCATGCCAACCCTGTTGGATCTTACCAGATGGGCAGAAATAATTCAAGATAGATAATCCCACTAATAACCTGGACCTCTGCCATGAAGGGCTTTATAGGTAAGAACCAGCACTTGAATTGCACTTGGAAGCTCACTTGTAAAGGCAACCCCATATAATGTACATCGTAGTAATCCATCTGTGAGATGCCCAAGGCATGAGTGCTCGTGAGCAGGGCCTCTTGATCTAGAAGCAGATGCAACTGGCACACAACACAGAACTCTGCATAGGGCCTCTGAGCCGCAGCCGCCACCTGCTCTTTGAGCAGAAGCTGTAGGTTAGAAGGACCCATAAATTGTGCACTGGATCAGTTTGAAGAAGTCTGAGCCCACCCCAGAAGTCTCTGAATCCAGGGGATACTAAAGTCACTCGATCTTATGAAGGCTGAGTCTGTTCTCCCCCAACCAGGTCCCTATAGCCTCCACACATCTCAACAGCATCATATGAAGGGCTTGGGGTTGAGATATACAACTGAATGTCACTAGCATACTGATGATAACGCTGTGATGATGGATGACCTCACCCAGCAGTCTCTTATAGAGGTAACAGAAGTGGGGAGAGAAATAAGCCTTGAGAAACTCGAAGCGAGGGCCTTGGGCTAGATCTCTCCCTCCACACATTAACACTGACTGAACTCCAGAGGAAGGAGGAGAACTACCTCAACACCATGCCTCCCATTCCCAAACCCCTGAGCTGGTTCAGAAGGGTACTGTGATCAAAGGTATTGAAGGCTACCAAGAAATCAAGAGGATGGATGCCCCAACCCCATCCTGATTCTGCCATAAGTCATCAACATGTATGATCAATGTTGTCTCCATACCAGACCCAGGTATGAAACCCAACTGAAAGGGATCCAGATAATCCACCTCATCCAGAGCCCTTTGAAGCTGCAGCCTAACCACCTTCTCAACAAGGAGATAGGCCACAAATTATCTGACAGAGTTGAGTCCAGCAATGCCCTCTTGAGGTGACAGTCTTCTGAAGTGCAGGTGAGGCCACCCCCTCTCAAGGATGAATTCACCACTGCTTGGGCCCAACAACATGCCACCTCCTGGGAGGTCTTAAACGAACCAGGAGGGGCATGGATCTAAAATACAGCTGCATGCACTCACAGCTCCCAGGACCTGTCCACTTCTTCAGGGCCAACAGGAACAACAGATAACCACTATGCCGTATGCACTTAATGTGCAGGTTTTATCCAAAGCACTAGTAGCAAAAAACTGTGTTTTGAAAACCTAGAGACAAATAGGAATGTAAAAATATTAGCATCTCCAGTAATTACAGCCAGTTTCTCACCTGATATAGACTCCAAAGATTCCCAGTTCAGACACACATTCTGATATTTTCAGCGGACAATGAGCCCTCAACAAGCAATTTAGTGTTGGGAGAGGCTTTATCTTATCCATGAGAATATAAGAAGTCCTCTCAGAACTGTCCTTAATTTTCTCCAGAACCTGCTTGAGCTCATCTCCATAGAGATTATTCCCTGACAATGCAATAGATGTTAATATTAGACAAAACAAAGCTGCTAATTTGCATGTTAGGGTTTTGATCTCATCCCAGCAATATCGAACATGAAGGACAAGTGGGAAGGAGAAATAAGGAGAAATAGTTTCCTGTGATTGGCAACATTTTACATGGGCAGATTTGCATTTCTCCCCAGAATTGTACAGCATAGCATGTATGTGAGTGATCTGAGAAAGGAGGCCATTCTTTTGCAGGATTTTGAGAAGATAACTGAACAACAAAAAGGCATTCCACTGTGAAGTAAACACTATACTTGCTGCAGTTAAATGGATTAATACAATGTTTCCATGGTACTAAGTATTTCTAGACAGACTGTAGACAAAAAGTGATTATGGAATAGCTAAAATTTATTTTATTTTATTTATTTATTTATTAAATTTGTCCCCTGCCCATCTCCCCCCAAATCCTCCAGCATTATAGCAGAATTCTCTTGGTTAAACTATCAGCAAGCAACATTCTCATCATTTAGAAGTTTTTAGAGTCACCAAGTCAGAGGAAAATTCTGCTTGATAATATGTAGTGACTGTTAAGTATTACAAGAAATTAAAATCTGATAAATTAGTCATGGTTTTCTACTTAATACTAGCCTTGTTCAGGAGTTTAATTAACTGTATAAATAAACTATAACTTTACTTTAAAATAAACTGTATAAATAAACTGTAATTAACAGTTAACAGGCAATGCAAGCTGATACCCATACCTCTGATGTTAGTTTTGCTGGAAGAGATGTGCATACAATGAAAATCTGCACACAGAGAGAACAAGTGTAATCTCACTCTAGTCTGATCGAGTTGCAAACTGCACAGACATTCCTTCATGCGTAGTTGTGTATGTGAAGGCACACTTCTCTGAAAATGTTTGCATTCTATGCATAGATGACCACAGAACAGGTCCTATTGCAAGCATGGCATAGATGGAGTTCATATGTTTATGTAACTTTTAAGCAGAATGCTTGAATAGGTCTACTGTTCTGCTATAGTAGAATGTATGTGTTTGAAGGTGGTTCTGTTTCAGACTTTTCTTACTTGCACAGAAGACATTAAAAGTTTTTGAAAATATTAGATTCTGGAGCTGAAACTCTGATTCTGAACATACTTACAGCACTACTATATACAGTGGAACCTCGAGTTACGAATTTAATCCGTTCCGTGACTCTGGTTGCAA